CAGTGCGTTTCTTCCGAGCTACTCCTCCTGTATACTTCGGTTTCACTTGCTGGCACAACTATCTATTATGTTCAAAGGGGTTGGACTGCAGCTCAAGCTATACCCTGAACCCTGCAAACTTCTGGCTTCTACTGGCTGCTTGCTACTAGCTATATATACCCCTGATTTGGCCTCCACTTTTGACTTCAGCTGGGTAAACTTCAAAATGAAGGGGGATGTAGGGATGGCATAAATTATGAAAAAGGATACCAACAAGAAAGCTGAAAAAACAAAAATCATACATCCATCCCTACATCTTTCTTTACTCACAACCTCAATTCCGCTTGTATAATAGCAGCATGCATGGAGCAGCTATATACATGGGTCACGGGTTACAAAACCTCATCAATCTCTTGCATCTCACACTAACAACATGGGTCACATGGGCTTAGCTACTACCATTAATTTTATACCTGGGTCTGAACTGCTTGTCAGTACACTGCCTGAAGATCCATCCGACAGCCTGGCCTCGTGGATCGTATTGTCGCACCATTGATCCAAAATAGCAAGTTTCTCCTGCAGTTGTATGTAGAGTGAAACAGATCCCTCTTTTTTTATACACATTTGCACAACCTCAGTCATCATGCTTGTAGGGTGCAAAAACCAGAGCTACTTAGAACCACGTCTTGCTCTGAAAAATTCTATTCCAGCAGTAGGCCCTAGCTAGTATGCCACAGAGCATGCATGGAAAGTGACACAGTTGTACGTGCAAGAACCACAGAGCCCACAGTTATGCTTCAGAACCATGTCTGACTGACTCCTGTATATTTTGTACATATCAACAGCTTTGAGGTATACACAAAGCTTACTGCTCCAAGGGCCAATAAACTTTGTCTTGCTGAAAGATATATATATTATTATAGCTCTTAGCTGCAGTAATAAGCTGACACAACATTTCTTACTTACGCGTAGTGATAATCCAGGGCTGCGTATCCATGGCCCCCTACGACCAAGTGTTCCACGGAAGAAGACTCGTTGAAGTGGATGCGATGAATGCCGAACTGCGTCGTAAATATCACATACGGCGCCCTGTATAATAATAGGTTTGGAACAATAATAATGCATGCGTGCTTGCATACTTACACTTCGGAGATAGCGACGTGCGTCTGTGCAAGGACCAAGCATGCTGCCCAGAAGAGCATAGTTCTGTCTCCATTCATGGTCAAGTACAGAGCTAACAAACTGCAGACGCTTTATATAAGGCGAGCTGCGCATGCGCACGTGCGCCCCGCTTGGACCCCGCGCGCGCCAATAAAAAACGGCTCCGGCGCAGGACGCGCAGTAGAGTGCGAAGATGTATCGACCACTGTTCTTTGTTGGAATCGCGGCGCAGATAATCCTAGCAGCTCCTCCAGACTTTACTGGAGAAAGGATATGTAAGATAGACGTGTTCGAGCGGACTTGTTCGAAATTCTTCAACTGCGCTGGGGCGAGCGTCAGCACTATCCCGAGCGCATTCCCCAACGCCAGAAACCAGAGCTACCCGCAAGCTTTGCGAGAATTCGTCCACTTTTACCCGATACTACTGGACTTCGACAGCTACTGCTCCTACTTGCTTCACTCGTTTCTGTGCATTCACTACTTCCCGCCGTGCACGCCGGAGGTCCCCCCCGACGACTCCTCGCCCGACCCCTCGGCGGAACCTAAGAAAATTCCGTTAGTAGTGCCATGCCGCGGACTCTGCGAGTTGGCCACGTCCGAGTGCCTCGACCACGTGTACGAAACCTACCCCAACTTGTCACGTCCTGAGCATCTGATCTGCACCAATTTTCCCTCGGAGACACAAAACACAGACTTCATCGTAGCGTGCCCAAAGCCAGGTAAACTGTAATATCAGGTGTATTCCTTCGCTTTGATGTTATCTGAGTGGATTTAGGCCATCTCTGTGGTTATCACTCCAGTTGACTTTGTTGGCCACTAGTGAAGGGTGAAATCATTAACTTTGTTCCCATTGCTCATGATTTTTTCTATAGCTGTACACTTTGAATTCTGTCTACCATTTGGCGAAAAAGACGTAAAGGTACCTGAATCAGATGACTCGACTGTGGAGGTTTGTGTTAAACTTGCCAGCACTGGCTGCGATGACTCACTCCGCTGCCCTGTCACCATACACCTAACATTTGAAGACCTTTCAGCAGAGGGTAAGAATCTGTCTCCTTTGCCACATTTTAGCTAACGGGACGATATTGCTATTATGTAGGCGGTGAAGATTATCGTTACAACTCCGAAGACTGTACAAACTTGGTATTTGAGGCTGGGAGTATCAAAGGCAATCGCAAGTGTTGTGAGATTGAAATTGAAAACGATGACTTGGTGGAGGAGACAGAAATATTCCTCGTACATGCTCGGGTCCATGAAGGAGATTGCGGAAGGCCTGAGATTCAGATTCAATGTTTAAATGACTGTGGTAGTGGTGAAGGTAGAGATAGTGGAAGTGGCAAAGGTAATAGGTCTGGTGCAGGAGACTGGAAGACAGTGGATCTGGAGGCAGTGGATCTGAAGGCTGTGAGACAAAAACAGTTGAAGTTATTAACGTACAGTTTGGGGGCTCTATCGATAAGTGCACTGGAACTCTCAAAGTAAACATCTTGGATGATGATGGTAAAGCTATACTTCTAGTGTTTTTTCATTGGTTGGCTTTTTCTATATGCAGTGTGTTTTATAAATCCGAAGCACTGTACCAGTCAGACTTGCAGGCAAAAACTCAATGCAGATAGTGAGACCTTTACAAGCAACAACTACACATACGGTAAAGAAGCTAATATTTATTTTTTCTGTACGGTGTGCGATATTCCATTTTTCATTGCCTTTTTAGCTGCAAAGGTTGAGCTGCTTGGAGTGGGGAACTTTGGTAGGTGTACTGGTGTTGATGTCCGTATCATTCAGTGCTGGGAGATCAAGAAAAGACACTGCCTTGATAGGGGCCAGATAATCACCATACCAACTTGCCCCGGGTGTCCCCGAGTCGATCCCTTGATCCCTGGCAATCAATACCTAATAGCAGGGGTCCGCCAAACTTACAATCGGAAAAAGATAAACGTGTTACCAAACTTGAAAAAGACGGGCCTCTTTGGGTTTTGGAAAAGGTTGTATGAAGATGTAATTGAAGACTGGATCCGGGCAGCAGTATTGCAAAAATCCTAAATCCCTCGGAAAGTTTTCCACATCCCTAAGAGACGAGTTTGAGATTCATCACTAACGCTAATGATACTAAATCATTGCCACTAACATAATTCTCATGATTAGTTTTGTATTTCACACATGACGTACATAATATATCATTACAACAAGGAACGAACATTTTCATTATACTCATACAAATCCACACACTACTAGTGTAACAATCAAGGTTTGGACGTGTATGAAAATGTGTTTGAAATTCTTTTGACTGACAAGTTGAGTGTCATAGAAGTGTGACTCTCTTGCTCTTGTTGCTTGGGGGTGTACTTCGCACTGCTGTGCCTTTTCTTTCTGACTGCCACGATAGCTATCAACAAGGCCGCTGTCGCTGCAGAAGTAATATCATCATAACTAGTAAATATGTAGTACACATAAAAAAATCTCCATTGCTTTGCAGTGTAAGTCTGCACTGCCAGACTAGTATTATGATCAATTGAGCATTATTCGTGTCTTTGAAAATGGTGAAGTTTCAATAGCATAGTACACATTTAGTTCCCAAGTAGGAATCTTGCACTCTGACATAGAATGTGGGCAAGGCAGTACGATTATTCAATGTTAAGGGTGCACACACCCTTGCAGAAAATGATATTATGAGACAGATTATTACTGCCGAATGGATCCCTAGCTCTCTTGGCCTTCAAAACACCGATAACACTCATCTCACAATATTACCTGTGATGAGGCAGACAGCAACAAGCGATACAGTCACGATGATGACTACTCTCTCTTTACCCTGATCCTTCTTAGACGATGCTACCTCTACCTGTATATACCAACAATAGCCATAGAGCACACATCATTATATCAATACTATTGTCAGTATAAAAGTCAGCAGTCTGATACAAGGTGAAGTCTCATGCAACCCAAAAACGGTCTGTGCAACATGCAGCTGCATGCAAGCAATAGAAATGTTTTCGATCCCATGCATGGCCTATCATTCCCATACTACATTGAAGTTGCATCTCATGTAACATAGTATGTATCACGGCCCTTAAGTATGCAGACCTCTAAATCAGGTGTGAAGGTGGGTAGTGGTGCCAAGGAGTTGTCTGCATGGATGCTGGTGGTGGGAGAGAGTGCCGGGAGATGGGAAGATGAAGGATGTGGAATCTCGGAGGTCTTCCTGTCACCTCTTGCATCAGAGGTCCCTGGGGATATGCTGGCAGGTGCTGTGCATTAGATATAATATAGTGGGGGTCAGCATGGATGATTAGCACACTGGGCAACATTCCTATATATCTGTAGTAAACACATTAGGAGGAGAGTGCATTGCTACTTTGCTCCATTATCCTCAACGTATATTATACAGTGGCTGTAACATACTGTGTGCAGGAGGATTAGAAGAGCGAACAACATGTGGTTGAGCAACACTGGTTGTTTGGCCGATGGTTGTTGTATACTCCAGTGGATGTGACATTCCCTGGCCAACTGAAGTTGAACTAGAAGTGCTGCTTAACTCATGTGTCATTGTAGTAGGCAAATTAAAAGTAGAAACGGTTGAGGTTGTACGGGAGCAAAACTGGTGAGGTTGTCACAGCAGAAGTTCTAGTCTCTTCCGAAGGTGAACTGATAACACCACTATCTTCAGTAGTGCTGCTGGAGCTAGGGCCAGCTGGCAAAGGGCCAACTGCTCTACTAGATGTTGCGATTGGGACATGTACTGTAGCTGTTGTTACTGATATAGTTGAGCTGTTGAATGAGCCAGTGGTTGTTGACTGAGGACTTATTGCAGACTCTTCCACTGTTAGGTCTTCAGAGTAGTATACAGCACCTTCGGTAGATGATGGGGTCAACAGTTGTGTCACTACTGCTGTCGGCTCAACTGTGTAATGCAGGGGGGGGAACTGTAATTCCACTATAAAGTACAACTTCCTGTATAGGTTAGTATGACCCCTGTAGGTCAACACATGGTTTGTGCTGTTTCCTCTTTTCATCCATTCATCATTCATTTTCCCAGTTTATGCTCTCTATACTATGGCTTTTTTGCTCATTCATGCCTTAATCACATCCACTGACAGGGGTTTGGAGCAGCTGACCTGATGTATTGTGAATGGCAGCCATACAGCTGAGCCCATCTTCCTCCAGATTGAACCCACTGTGGCAGCTGCAGAGATGCGTTCCAGGGAGGTTTGTGCAGACCTGTTGGCATGGCCCTTCGCCCTGAGCAGAGCATTCGTCTATGTCTGAAAGAGTAGAAAAAGTAATGGCAAAGTGAAGGAGATTACTGATAGAGAAATGTAGAGACAAGGAACAGACGGAAAGAGAGATAGACATAGCATGTGAACAAGCTGTGCCAAAAATTCCAAGCCAAAGGTAATGAATGTTACCATTGCACATGTGGCGATCATCTGCCAGTGTGTAGCCATCACGACAGGCACAGTGATAGCTTCCTACTTCATTGACGCAGGAGTGCTCACACCCTCCGTTCTGTCGCTCACACTCATCCACATCTTGAAAAGCATACATTAACATATTCAAAAGCTGAAATCTCATAGGTTCATGGAGCATCAGGATACATACATTCATGAATTTAAGAGGATATTAAGAGGTACGAAAAGCAAGGCAAGTGATCGTGGTTGGAGTGTAAAACTGACCGACGTCACACAAGCGATCTCTCCAGCCAGCACTGCATGCACACAGCCCAGGAGGTATGCAGTTTCCATTGACACACTCAGCAGAACATTGGAAGGTCAGAGTCGCATTTGTCGGGGATATGATCTCGATGAAATCGTCAACTGGCAATTTTTAGTGTTTGAGTGTGTGTGGGTATGTTTGTGTGCGATTATAAAACAATAGTAAAGTGCCACTGTTGTGTGTGTGTACTCATCAAAAATAGATACAAATATATATTATTATGATGATATGGCAACATCTGGACTGGCAATCTATGCACCCTTGACTACCCATTCTCCGTAAATGTCATATAACCATGCGCAAAGTATAAATGGTTCCTTATTCAGGTATAATTATACATAAACCAGGATTTACGTTATGAAAGAACAATTTTATTGGTAGTTCAGTAAGCATTGCTCTATTAGGGAACACGGCTAGGGAGTATACAATAGAAGCAGTAGAACACAGTATGAAGTAATAATTGAGTAAACTCCTGAGTGATTATGAGTTAATGTTGAGGAATGGAGTTTCAGAGTGCAGCTGTGTTTGAATAATGAGACCTTAAGGTGCAATGAGTGATGTATATACCTTGTGGTTGCGCAGTTGAATGGACAAGCCGCAGACCAGTAGCTCTGAAACCTCTTTGAAGTCCATATATTGTAGTCACTGTTGCATCGCTAGCATTTCGTCGCTCAAATACTCCACCCTGCTCCGACCAGTAGAATGTGTCGTTTTTAATAACTAGACCGGTAGCAAACGGTATGACTGTGGTGAAGGGGAAAGAGTGAGTTGTATCGTCGCCATCCAGTCTGAGTGACTGGATCTCGTAAAGACAGTGGTCGATCCAGTAGATTGTGACCGAGGCATAGTCGATTGTCAAAACGTTCACACAGTATAGCTCTGAACGCAGTGTGGATATATCATCGCCCGTAACAGACGCCTTCTTTAGGTTGGTCCCATCGATCCAGTAGATCCACCTATACCATATTATTAGTACATGTGTGTGTGTGTGTGTGTGTTGCAAGAATCAGACAGTGAATGAAGTAAAGTATATCCACCTAAGAGACATATTATGACCCCAAGTATGCATACAACTGATTGGGGTGTATGTTGGGAATGGTACAAGTTCCTGCTCTAATCGAAAACACTACAAATATTTCACAGATGTCCTACAAAGAGCTCTGTAAGCTGTGTACCTCACCAAAGTGCTACGCTGTTAGAGGGCACTAAGCGTATTATCATGCATGAGTGGTCTACACTGTTTCCGTGTGGTAGACTCGGTTTCATATGACACTGCAAAGGCATGCATTAATCCGTGGGATAGAGTCAATGCATGCATTATTCCGAGTCAGTTTCCTTGTGACTTTGCAAGTGCATGCATTATTCTGTGATGAATGGTCAGCATACTCTCCCATGGCTTCTATCTACTCAGTTTGGACTTTGGACCAGATGTCCCGGCCAACAAACGGCATCAGCACTACACACAAAACCTTTCATGACAATACATGCCCTGCAAGTATGTGAATGGCATTGGGCGTTGGAATCTGAATGAATAACATTGGCGTATACGTTGAATATAAATGGGCAGGGGTGGGCATACCCTCCCACATATGTTCACACGCTCCCACAACAAGCAAACCGGTCACGCTTCATACGTGGGCAATGATAGGTGATGATCATGACAGCACTTTGATATGCCAATTACACGAGCTCTTCCCTTCAGGCAAACACAATACCACTAGTTCCTAGATCCCCTGCTTCATATTATGTATATGGGTCTCTATTATGGTGAGTACAACGTCGCTAAGCACTGCATTATTATGTATGGGTCGTCCCCAGCATCACACAATGACGGAGATAAAATTGCTGAGTACTGTTACTAACCACAGTGGTTAGTAAGGTCTCAATGTATGGGTCTTTGATGGAGAGTTTTGCAGCAACGGAATATTATTATTCTGGTATAATTATTTATAGTATTTGTACTCACCCATAGTTGGGGTAAGGGTAGAGAGCAAGTGCAGAGGGGGAGCTGAGCCCAGTAGAGAGCACCACACTGCGATGACCGGTGACAAGGTCGTACTCGCCTATCTGCCTCAGGGATCTGTCTACCCAGTACAGTCGGTCGTTAATCCAATCAACTTCCAAGTCAGCTGCCAGACACAAACAGCTAGCCAATTTTGCTATATACATGCAGACACTACACAAAGAATATGTGTAACCTCTTTAAAGTAAACAAGGTAATGGAATATAAAGAGCAAGAAAACATTTCTGTAGCGGAATTGCTCTAACCACTGTTTTTGTCTGGTATCACTCATAACAGCGAATTTTTCTAGTTCACACTCTTAACTGCTAGATATGACAGTTCATGAATTCATGTAACACTATATCCGATTGCATTAATTAAACATTGCTCGGTTAATTAACCATATGTGTGTGCATGTTCCCTTACCTGGTTCACCCAAGTTCTCAGAAAGGAGTTCTGTCATGGCTGAGCCATCGATCCCAGCCGTCAGTATAGCTGGACGTATGCGGTTCCCGTTGGCAAAAAACAAAGATCTCAATCTGCAACACAAATTGACAATAGCAACAGTCTTGGAGGTGTCTTTGTAGATATTAGTGTCACATTTGTGAGAGTTCTATTCAGACACTATGCTAGAGAGTGTGCAAACAAGACAATTTCTATGTGTGTACATCAGCAACGGGCCTTGGCAAAGCATTCTCGGACCATAACCATATTCCAAGGCGGATTCATTTTGACCAAGTTTGCCCTCACTGCTCAAGTGTGTACGGCCACAGTCTTTGAATGGACAAGGTAAATGACTTTGATAGTTAATATGTACCTGAGATGATAGGAGAGTCCCACTATTCTCACCGATGGAGGGGTTAGTATTTGCGTCGTAGTTGATGAAGTTCCGTTTAGAATGTGCTTGTATATTGATTGTTGTGTGGAGAACAGCAGATATGGATGACTGCACCAATCAAGAAGATATAAACATTATTGACAGAGTAGTGATGATTACATAATGGAGGCTCGCTTCCTATTTCCTACAGAAACCCTGCATTTGGAGTGACAGTGAAGCATAATTCGCTTTCACTTCTCTGCTGTGCTATGACAAAGCATAATTATTGGGGCCACGCTACGGCTAGCTACGTCCGTGTAGGACTTACACGTCTATGGAGTTTCCTGCTTCAAAGACGACGACAGTAGTTACGATGAAGAGATGAATCAATCTTCGTAACGCCATCATCAGCACACCTTTTGTCGCTGGAAACACTTTTCGACCGCAGTAGCTACACTAGTTACTGTTGAAAGAGCCTAACACGAATAGGCATAAATAAGGGATGCTACTCCAACGCAGTACACCGACGACGGACGTCTGCCAATTGCAATGCGCTGTAATGCGAGCCCTTCCCACCAGCCGTGTCTCTCACCGCCCGCGCGGGCGTTGCCTTTTGTAGTTTACGCCCTTACGTTGCTCGCATAATCGAATTATGGCAGCGTTTTCAGTGCGCATGCTCGGATAGCGACCAATAATGCACAACGGTGAAAAATAGTCCTGCATGGGTATAGGTGCAGTTGCTGTGTTAATGTTATATTGCAAACACATAAAAAAAACTTTATTCTAGCCATGTTTTAGTAGCTACAACTGTTCCAGGTTGGCTTCTTCAGCTTTAGATAGGGTGATGACTTTTCCATTCGAGTGGCCATTTGAAGGCTTGACTGATATCATGGTGTCGATGTTGGTTTTGCTGTTGGACCTGAACGACTTTTGAGGCGACCAAGATCTGTTTCGGCGTCGTTTGTATCGTACGCACAGGACGATGATAATCACGAGTGCAATGGCAACTGTTGGTAGGAGAGAGAGAGGAAGATGTTCATTACTTCTATAGTGCTAACAAAGTGTGTCTCATACCAAATATGAGGGAGAGGGCGAGTCCAGCACCAATTCCAATAAGGACGTAGAGTCCAAACCCAAGAAAAATTCCCTCATCCTCAGCTTCTTCCTGCAGCAAAAATGTAGTTTGCTGAAGGCATACTTTTATGACCTGAGTAATTTACCCATCCTCATAGAGTGCAGTAAGCATGCCCAATATGCAAACACCCTTCACGCAAGTATAACAACGTAAAGGGCCATGTACTCCTTCTATCAATCATACTGCTACATTCATTAACATAGACCAAAATGTGCACGAACTACATACTCACTTTTTCAACAGCCTCAACAATTCCAGGAGTTGGCTCCATGAAGACCCTTGCCTTGGTGGTCGATGGTAGTGGAATCGCCATTGGTGTTGCCACTGGTGTTGCCATTGGCGTGGATGATACCAGGGGCTCAGTATAGCTGCTGGAGGGTGAGCTGGTCGGTGACGCTGTTGGCGAAGCTTCCACCGATGTTGGCGTGGCGACGACACTTGTTGAATAGACAACTCTTGTTGTGGTGACCGTGGGAGCTATAAAGGAGAAAAAAGAGTATGTGAGTTTAGGGAATTTTTGTTAAGTGAGAGTGAGGGATACAAATTTTGCAGTTGGACGACATACAGTGTTTAGACCACTAGTTAGCTTGCTCCCGCTAGTCAATAAAGTAACACAAAGTGCACGGCAAACGCAAGGGGCTTGGTCCAACCTAACAACTTATCACGAAAGCCTCTCTACCCATGCATTTCTACATTCACTATATATATAATATATAATAGAACTGGTTGACACATAGCTAGGTTCTAGTCTATTAGTTGCAGTGCTCAACACAACAATAGGTTTAGATTGAGAACAAAAGTGATGGATAGAGTGTCTTACGTATGTAAACGAGGCAAGGGTCAAAGGTGACACTTGGTGGTCGAGCAGCATTCACAGTTACATCTCGGTTCTACATTTGTCTGTGGATAGACGGGAGGGGGAGGGGGAGGGGGAGGGAGAGTGGGAGGGGGAGGAAACGAAGAGGGAGAGGAGAAATTGGAATCCAAATTCGCCGACGTTGATCTTACCCATGATGTTTCAGGTACTTGGCTGAAGTATTTAGAATGTCTCATGCTGGTTACCTAACCTCGTTGTGTGTGCGGTAGATATATTAGTGAGTATGCAAACAAGTACTTGATGAAGCCGGGAGGGGATGTAATCAAATAGGTCTGTAACTGCACACGTAAAAGGTAGGATAGAACTCTAATAAGTGGTCTGGTTTGAAACGTAGTGTCTACAAAGCTTGTCTTCGTGCCACTACTGGTGTGAGCGAGACGAAATGCTAGACGGGATCAAACATATATACTCTGGTTTCTATATATGGCACACAAAATCTTTAAACAGCGTGGATATTATGTAACCGCAATTGAAATAATGTGTTATTAGGACACATACCAACACATTGAAAGTGAAATAAGTATAATTATATTAATGTTATTAGAACACGTACCAACACATGTTCGACCGTCGTGTGTGAGCACGTATCCATCAAAACAGGTGCAATGAAACCCGCCATCTCTTTCTTCGCAGCTGTGCTCGCAACCCCCATTCACCTCAGAGCACTCTGGGATATCTGTAGATGGGCGACATTTCTTCTACTACGTTCCACATTTAGAGTTAATAACTATATATTCACTCTACAGATGACCTGTATGCTACCATGTGGCAAATATTTGCTCTTTACCATCATCGCATTAGAGTAATGTTTTTGTCCTAGAAGTATATACTGCTAAAGGGCTATACACTAACAGAGTATTGTCAGAGGCTATGCTACTGTTTCCCTATTAAATATTTGGGAGAGTAACAACGCACTTGGTTCGTACACATTGTGAGTTGACTTTAGGGTTGAGTTACCTATATCACACAGCTCTCCTCTCCAGCCCGAGTTGCAGGCACACAGACCGGGAGGAATGCAATTGCCATTGGCACACTCTCCACTGCACTCGAACGTGAAATCGTCTCCAACAGTCGTCACAATCTGGATGTACTCTGCAGCTATGAGTTTTGAAAGGAATTGTAGAGGGAGGAGGATGATAGAAGCTTTAGCTTTTAGTTACGTGGCTGCATTATTACCCAACCATAGTGATGCTGATATTGGCAAGTGTCACGCCACTCTCTTGCCATGGATCCCATACATGGTATAATTGTGAGACTCTGGTGCTAAGACATGGCCTGCCTACACAATGTATATACCTAAATGGATGATGTGTTACCATGCTCAGCCCACAGTGGAAAGTTAGCCAGGTCGTATAAGCACATGTGTTTTACAGTCTGCAAAATTTTGGATCATCTAATTCTTCCAGTGTCATAGCACCTTGAATTATGATAAGGTGTGAAAACGGTTTCTATGGGGGTTGGGACAATCAGAGGTTTTGGTGCCTTCTGGACTAATGTGTAAACAACCTACATGATGGCTGTCGCGAGGGATGAACAACTTTAACTCCGGTGGCCCTGGTCTGCGCTGTACTATAGAGCTGTCTTCTTTCAGTCCCTCCATCGGGGTCTGCCTCAAAGACCCCGTCTCCTTCTGCGTAATACACCTTCCCATTGTAGACTTGCAGAGCAGTGGAGAAGAATATGATCTCGTTGAACGGAAAACTGTGGGTGGAAGAGTCTCCGTCCAGTCTCAGACTTTCGATGGCAAATGTGCAAGTGTCGATCCAGTAGAGTGTGTGGGACCAGTAGTGGATGGATAGGGCGTTGACACAGGGGTTGTTGGTATGAATAATTGATCTGCGGTCGTCCGTCACCGATACCATTTGGATTGACCGATTTTGTGTGTCACTCCAATACAACCACCTAAATATTTATATACAAGGCTGTTGTAAAATGCAACTGGGCTAATCATTACAGTGGGTCCCTGTTAATATCGTACCCACGGTGCATCCGAGCGGGATATTCTACGATGCAGTTTGTTCAGCTAAAGCCTAGCTGTTTACATAAGCTAATTGAAGCCAGGTGGAGAGAACGGAGAGGAGTTATCTACAAAACTCCAGCCCAAGGTTGTAGAATGCCTAATTACGCAGCAGCAATATGACAATAAGCGGGCAAAAACTAAAAGTGCTCATTTTTCTATGGTAAAAGGCGGGATATTACATTATCTGTATTCTATATTAAAAAAATGTATGGGAAAGCGTAGGAAATGTTTTGGATTTCAGGTTTGTATGGTTATGAATGGGATGTATAACAGTAAGTGGGACCCACTGTACTAGTAGGCGAATGCATGGCATTTTTGGCTAGTGGGAGCGAGCATACCACGTATTCTCCTGGAAATTACCACACTACCGATAAGATTCTCAGACGACTAATCAGAACACACAAGCAGTTGGATGACATACGTACCACCCCATTCGGACAATTTTGTGTCTAGCTATGAACTGCATGCTCAAACTCTCACCCATAGTTAGGGTATGGGTAGAGAGACATAGCTGCTGGTCTGCTGGTAGCAGCTGAACCAGTGGAAGCAACAAACTTCCTACTGCCTGTCGAAATGTCATATTCCTCAATGAGTCTCAGTTGGGCATCAACCCAGTACAACCTATCGTTCAGCCAGTCCACTGCCAGATCCACTGATGAGAAATAAATGAATGAGTGCTTGCTTGCAATTTCTGGTGACGCGCCCATAATAATTACTTTCCTCACAGCCTGTTTATATGTTGTGCATGTTTAAGGGGTATGATTCGAACTCTGGATCTCTTGTGTGGAACAGTAGTAACCTTACCATACACACACTATACAAAAAGGAAAAGCTAAAACATACCTAAGTGTTACGCATGGAATTTGCATGTGGAATTTGGGTGTCAATGAGTTTTAAAGGTCGTGACACAAATTATTATTTCATGAGCCAATTGAGAACTCCTTATTTGTATGAACCTCAGTACTACAATGCGAATTGGCACCAATAACTGGCAGTAATCACATCAGTATATACAACAAGTTATGCAGTTTTAAAATGCGACGTAAACTGGCTGCAAAGAACGCATTATTGTATCTCCACGAAGGTATTAGACCGTGTGATGCCAAGAGAAAAAAGATGTGGAGCTCTGGACAGCTGTTTCGGGCTTGTTGGCCCTCATCAGCGGAGCATACCGCAACTTCTCTCTCTGGCATCACGAGTTTACCACAAGGCTTGCCACTGGTATGAGCTGCTGACCATGGCCATGCCCAGACATTCGTGGTTTGGAGCCTAGGCCCCTCCCCACTCCTGCTGGTCAAGGTCAGCACCGAGCCAAAACCCGAACTCGCAATCTATAGCCCCTACTTACACGAAGGTATTAGACCATGTGATGCCAAGAGAAAAAAGATGGGGAGCTCTGGACCATGCATTAGTATAATAAACTGAAATTGAAATGTACCGGGGTCGGTCAGGAAATCCAGTAGGGTAGTGACCTCGGAGCCGTTCAGTCGAGCTCTCATGAGTTTGCCTCTACCAAGTGAGCCATCCAGCCAAAACATGTAGTCCATTCTGAGTTGGAAGGAAAGAGGCACTCTTTATGTGTGAAGTACGTAGATATCTATCTATGCAATGGAGGTGAGGTATACACGCAGTGGAAATGAAGACGGTAGGGACATATACGTGTTTCTTATTCTTACATTTAGTCCTGCCTAAACGTATTGAGGGGCAGTGTGGCAATTGTCAACTTTACATACTTGTCTTGTGCATGTGTGTGGTGGTAGAAAGAAGGTGTGGCACACAAAAATGTGCTGCAGGTGGTGCATAAAAATGCTATGCCTCGCTTTTATGATCTCTGAAGTATGGTATATATTACAACAGACGGTGTTGATCAGATGTCACGATTATTGCTGTGATACGAAGCCAGTTGAGGACAAATCACAAGAGAATTTGTTTGAAGTGTTCTGGGTGATGCTTTACTATGAAGTTCGCCTCATCACTATTCAACACAACACATTCTACACATGCTGCAAGTAGTGTGTACATTGATGTGGGCATGAGACAGCGTATCAGGAGTTGTACCTGGAATGTTGGCCTTTAGTTTGGTGTAGGAGTGATTGTAGAGTGTGTCTAATTATTGCAGGTGGAACACCGGCCAACTTAACATACAAAGCTAATGGCTTTCACATGGAAAAGGGTCGGGTATAGCTACACGGGCTTGGTCACATCAAACACGGACACCGTTCCAACCCCAGTACTCGGTTTAGTGCAGTGTTTTGGTGGAGAGAGAATACAGACCTTGTAACAAATAATATCTTGTGTACACTGACCTGTAGTGATAGTCTATCTTCCTGATACGCCCTGGGTTTGGTCCCACTAGAATCTGTGGCGGTGCACTTCCATTGAGATAGAGTCTCCGTATGGAGTTTTGTGTTGTGAAAAGTAGGTAGGGCACCCTGTAGTGTAGAGAGAGAGGTGGAGGAAAGAGAGGATAAGAAGAGAGAGGGGAGGTAAGGTTGAAGGAAATGAGGGTGCAACATCAAAAGATACATGAGGAAGTCTAGGCCCGGGAGGTAATCTAGACCAGGAAACCGGGAAACTGTGGTTAGTGGCCACGAGAGTGGTCTCCAAGCCACAAAAATGTGTCAGAACACTTTGGATGATCATGTGTTGTGCCAATAACACACATGTAAAAGGGGAATGTGGGTTTGAGCTTTTAAGATCATCCCCTCCCATTGAAAGCCCAATACTTGTATATAGGTGTACAAAATGCAGTGAAGGTTGATTGATGCAAAGATGAAGGAGTGGTCGTAGCTAGGCAGGGCATCCTAGCACCCCTCATTTCCCAGTGCAGCCAATTAACAGTGGCATGTGCATGTGAATAACAGAAGATTGTTGCACCCTGAACTCAAAAAGAAACACCTGGCTTCTCAATGCATCATCCATGCAGCTAGAGACACCTTTCAGGCTGGTTGCCTTTCACACTAAGGCTGGTATCAGAGGCAAACAACATATTATGGTGTTAATGTCCCCATACCAAAGCGAAGGGGGCCCTTCTTTGCTTTTATGTTGGGGTCAGGGAAGAGAATACATTATTTGTGAGCCCTACTAGTCGTCTAAATGCGGGATTATTCAATATAATGTACGGGGGCTGCCACATACCGTAATATTCTATTTACGCATGAAACGCGTGAAAAATCGAATCCTCTAGTATCTTTTATGCGTGTACTATATACCTACCACTGATCTGGGGTATCAGATGCTGCCAACCTCCACTGACAACAGACAGACAAAGGTCTGAATTGTCTCATATCTCTAACTCTACAAAAGGCGGAGGGAGTAGGAGGGCCTGGAGGAGGTTCTATGGGTGCAGTAATGACTGCCATTTAGCCACTACAAACACTACTTGGCTCTTTGAGAGTATAAAATTGAGACTACAACTAGTATATACTTACATTTCCTGTTGGGCAAGAGGTTAAAAAGGGGTGTTTATTGGTTGGAATGTGAGAGTTTTTACCCCTGGCAGTCCTACACTCTGAAAAGTTACACCTAAAGAGCACCCCAGGCAAAATGGCGCATGAACAGTCAATATCAAGATTTTTACATGCATGGCTGCAGCTTTTCTTGTCAAGCACTTTTACAGTATCTGTTCCATAATCTTCCATCTGACACAGCACTAAAGGCTGGATAGAATTGCCTTGTGTTTTTCTCTAAAGCAATGTTGTACTTTTTCTCCCATTTCAGAGCTACTTGGGCATGCATGCATGCCCGGCTCTTTTCACACCCGACCTCCGAAAACAGGCAGCTATAATCGTGGTCTGTGGCCAGCACGTAGTATACTGTATATTTCTATTGAACTTACGGCTCTCCTGTTTGCGCTGTAGCCACGTTCCGTTTCTCTCCGAACAGCTGAAGCAGAAAACATAGCAGCAAGACGAACTTCTCCACCGAGGCTACGACGCCGCAGATCTGCATTCTGGCGAGTCGCATTACTGGTAGATATGCTGGAGATGCTTGTTGAGCTGATTTTGCAGGAGATCTTGCTTCTCTCAGTGTCAGTGATGCTGCACAGACTTCCACAAAGCAACCGTGAGAGACTGGATCGCACCCAGCACTTTATGTCGGTAACCGCCCCCGCGCGGCACACGTAGGTTATTGCGCATGCGCAATACGCAATGACTTGTGCGGAACCCGACTATAATTATTATACTGCCGTTTTTTGCTATAATAATATGCAACACAAACACTAATATGATCTATGATTGATTATTGCAAGAAGTACCTATATAATCAAAATCTTGGACAAACATAGAAAAGAAATGTGCAATGTGATGATAAATTCATAATAAAACGATGTGACTTTGTGGCTTCTTCGTGTAGGGCGTCTCTGCGGCTGTCATGTGTGGTTCCATTCAAACGACTCTGATCCACTGATTGTGGAGGAGGCACGCGTGCTGTCTCTAGGCTGAGAGAGAATCGCAACAGTTTCGGGGGTGTTTTGAGAGGTCCCTGAAGAACCCATCGATCTGAAGCTCGTGCGAGTGACTTGGCCTCGCTTGAGCGTGTTTGTCGACACCGCTCCGGCTATGTCCAGAGCGGCGGGATTTCCAAACGAGTAAGAGCCTTGACGTTGGCTTTTGCAATGTACGTAGGTCATCATGAATGCAAACACGGCAAGAGCTGCAGTGGGAAGAGGATTGAGGAAAGCATTAGCATTACACATCTACGTAGGTAGGATAACCCTGTCTAGTACGGTTAAATGTACCCGACTGCTGCCTATGTGGACGCACTCTGCAGTCTCAACATGTACAGGGAGAATTGTAGAGTTCCCGAACTAGTGAATACTTTATCGAAATGTGAGGGCTATTACGGAAGATAGGCATTGAGTCACTCGGCGATATTATGCCTCTTACACAAGTTCATGTACTTCAAATGGTAAGGCAGAAGCTACGTAGCTGTTTTAAATGTGCTAAGGCTCAAGCTGGTGAAAGGAGTCTTTTATGACCTAGCATTCTGTTGAAGGTAAGACAGATGTTGTGTGTGCCAATCCCAGCATTGCCACATTGACGTTTGCCAGCTAATAGGTAAAATACCGCTTTTAGGTCAACTGTGTTCTTATCCAAGTTTAAAATAGCTACCTATGCAAAAAAAGAATGCTAGCATGATTCTTTGGCTAATGTCATTGTGCTAATGGTATTAGGGAGATGTAGTGTGGTTTGGCATGAGCCTAGCTCTCACAATACTTACAGAGAAGAACAAATCCTGCCACCACTGACACTGGGATGATGAACACTAATGGATTGGATCCTTCAGTATCATCATTCTGAAAGAGAGAGGATGGAATAGTAATTCAAAAGTATATTGCAGTGTAGGGGATATAGCTCAGTGTTATTAAAAGCTACGCTCAAAATTCGGGGAAATTGATAAAACTTTTCTCGGCAAACTCCACATACCAGGCTTAAGTACAAACTTCAATGAGATGCTGTGACAAGCATGAAACACCATACTATAGTAAATCCACAGAAGGTGGTCTCTTACCGCTCTGTCTATGCCGCTGATGGTTGGACCTGTCATTCCTGATTTTGAGTCAGAGGTCGGCAACGGTGTCTCCTGAATATCAAATTCCACGGTCTGTGTTGCTGAGGGTGATGTCATAGACACAACACTGTCGCCGTGTGTAATCTCTGTCCCAGTTTCTTCGCCATCAGTTGGTGTGTTGGATGGGTTTACATAGGCAGTAGTGAAAGTGGTCGGGTGGGCTGCCGGTGTAGGTATGGCTTTATTACTGGAAGTTGGGACCACATCATTCCTATCCGTCGTTGAGGGTTTGTGCAGGAGATCTGTGGTAGTTGTGGTTCTAGTAGGAGATGACCTGTCAGTGGTTGTGGTGCTAGTTGGGGTGGGCCGTGAAGGGCTTGAATGTGATGAGGTTGAATGTGAGAGGATGTTTGGCTGTATGTTTGGTTCGAGGGTGGGGGAAGCAGGTGGAAGAGAAGGATGGGGTGTCGCGGTCTGCTGGATGTCAGGGACTGAAGTAGGAATGACGGGAGATTCTGTGGGGAAATGAGTGGAAAGGAGAGGGAGTAAGAGAGAAAGGAGAGAAATACAATAGTATTGAGTCAAAGTAAGTTCATTTCCTTCCTAACCACCCCTACTTAATTCAATTTCCACGTTTGGGTACTTCATCTTCTTGCATGTTCTGTGTCATTTCATAATATTGCCCCCTTTTCAAGTGGCGGAAAGTGCCTCCCTCCGTGTTACACACAACGATGCGTATATTACGACGTGTGCACATGATACAATATTATGTGGGTGTGACCGTGGGAGTTGGTAATGGCTGTTTGCAAGCCTACGTATAAGTAACTCTCAGTTCCTCACAAGTATATAACACAGCATAAAGACTGTACACTGTCAGTTGGTGATACTGTTCTTTCCCATGGAGCCTAAGTGTTTCAAAGAAAGTTTGTCCGATCCTTGAAACTGTTGCCAAATGGGGATCTGGCTGCATGTTGTGCAGGGTCCATGTGCATGTGCATGTTTAGTATGTAATGTACACGATCCATGTAGTGTGCATGTGCATGATACGTACATGTGCAATGCTTCATGGATTGTACAGTTTCTTGTAAATGTTCATTCCAGTTGATAGTGTAGCTTCAAGTGAATAGTTTCTCAAAGGTTGACATCATTGCACCTTTTCTATATTATACGTGCGTTTGAATATTATGGTATCAGCAAGTGAAGTACTTTAGTGAAACTTGGCTGTTGAAGTGAAGGATTCCAAACCACAGGAATCAACTTAGGCTCTTTATCAGCAAATGGCTGTCTGGCTAATTTTGCTGGCATGGATACCGACATCATCCATCACCACTACATGTTGGACCTTGTTTCTATAGTTACCACACACACTTTGCAAAGAATGAAACCTTCAGTATATTGCAGCCAAGCGAATTGAAGCGTATTTCCAACAAAATGCGAAGAAGGGTAGTTTACTCTGCCAGACATAAGTGTGAGGATTGTAAAGACGTACAGCTAGGAATGGATATGCAGCAGGGGTCATTAAAACACCCACTAGATAGAAACAAGCGTCCTATCTATAGCCCATACAAGATGATCCACCGTATTTTACTGGAATTTTAATGGCTTCTCAAAAGATGTGTGTAAACAACCTTTTCACTTCCGAGAAAAAACCTGTTTAGCCTCCCAGCCACTCTGTTACTGACGCACTATTGCGTGAGTGGCCATTCACTGTTTTGGCTGCAGATACAAGGGTGTGTGCCCTAGTGGTCTTGGCAAACCCACTCCATGATTTGCAAGACCCTACTCCCACGTGTATATACGTACGTATGCTTCAGTGTCTTGCAGTTCGTATAAAGTGCTACTGTGTGGGGGATATAGGGCTTAATTCTCTTGTCGGTTTTTCTGTCTATTCCCATCATTGCCATGTATAAACTTCATACATGCTTTGATTCCCAGTACCTTGCTTTATGATATAACAAAATAGACTCTCCCCTGAGCATGCACCCATAAAAGTCATGTCTTAATCTTTATGCACTGGTTGCTATGGGTTTCCAGGTATGAGGTATTGCGGAATGCAATTTACTGGCCACTGAAGGAAATGATCACATGCCGTGTGTGGATAAAGGAAGTAGCTTGGTGAATTACACGAGTGCTAAGCACTGGGAGACTCAAAACTATTTCCTTTGGCTGCCACCAGATAACTAACGTACTATTATTTGTAAAACCACTCTGTGATGACTACATACATTTGGTAAGCTACACTCTTGAGCATCCATATTTGATTCTATATCAAAACTGATGTACATGTCTACATGGTCTAATACCTTCATGTGTACACATACTTTTCTATCCTAAGTATAACACCACAAGTAAGTGTACAAGTTAATAGAGCCATGTTAATCTGCAGCATACTAATAAAGTGGTGTATATACTAGTGTAGCTGCTATTGAAAGCACTCAGGAAGTTTGGCTTACGTATGTACGTACCAATCGCAGTTGGAGCCATTATGAGACAGTGTGTAGCCCTCCTGGCAGGAGCAGTGATACCCACCATCTGTGTTGGTGCAGTTGTGTGGGCAGCCGCCGTTGTTGACCAGACATTCATCCTCATCTGAGTGTTAGAGAGGGGGAGAGAAAGAAGATAGAGGAGGAGAGAGGGGCGGGGGAGGGAACGTTTAGAAGGGAGAGAGTGAAGGGGAAAGAGATTGGGGGGTTAAGCACATCACTATAGTGAAACATTACCGAGTGGAGTAAGAAACCACTAAAGTCCCACCAAAAGGTTGTCCTATTTGCATTAGTCAATTAGTCTGAGATGCACATTGCTCTCCCCCTTAATAAAGCACACCTTACTCCAACAACTCTGTATAATTTATACGTACCTTCACTGCAGGAGAGACCGGCCCAGCCAGTAGAGCAGTTGCAGACTCCAGGGAATATGCAGCTGCCACCATTCTGACATCCACCTCCACATTCAGCACTCACGTCAGACACAGATTCAGGCTGCTGAAGTTGTTCGACTGCAGTGGTGTCAATCACAATAGATACATTATACCAGTCTCACTATAATGTGCTGGTCCTATATATTGGAGAACTATTCACAAGGTTTTAATACATCAGAACCTCTGCAATCCGGACACCAATGGGACAGAAGAAAGTGTCCCTATTAGTGAGGTGTCCTTATTTCAGCGGTTAAATTGCATGCAAGGGAAAGCAGTTGTGTTCTGGTGTCTTCATCTCCATGCCTTGGGGTTCCACAGTATGGCATTATATACAAGCCAAAGGCTGCACTACTGTATGCATGCAAAGGGGCTGATTTACAATCAAAGACGAGACAGAGTCATGTGACACTCATGTGATGTTATGTAATCACTCACTGGTAGGTTGAGTGTCAGGGTGAACAACTTGAATATCTTGCAGGACATTGGAGCTGGGACTATCGTATAAAACGCTCATGACCTCCCCCGTCTTCTTATACACCCATTCGGCTGAACCCAGTAAACTGAGTCTCCGAACTGAGACATTCCGCGGGGAAATTCGATTGCACTCTCGTCGCTATTCACCACAACACTATGGCTGGTCCCGTTGATCAAGACGGACTCTATGGAATATGTACACTGGTCTCCCCAGTACACCATTCTCTCTCGTAGGTTTAAGGGCAATTGGCTGAACACAGTTGGCTTGGTGAATGACAGCATGAGAAGTGCCTGTATTGAGGATCCTCTGCAGATTACGGTTACCACTGTCCGTCCAATACAGAACACTGAATGAAGGTGTATGTGTGTGCAGAGGGAATAAAAGAGCTTGAATAAGAGGGGCAGGAACAATCTGGAGAGTGTGGATGTAGGTACGTGTGTTGTGCTACAGGGCTTTTAAACTGCACGCAGCCAGCATATGGCAGCAGTCAGGTCATCTCCCAAACACAGGCAAAAGTGGATGCCAGAGAAATCTACAAGAACAATGCTTCTGCTTCCTTCCCTTTGAGTGGCCATAGACACACTTGTACACACTCAATGTGAACATTGACAACACTACGTCTAAAAAGCCTTAGTTTCTAGTACTAAAAACTTGCTTACCAATAAGACTTAGTTTCACTTGCTTACCCATGCTCCATGGTAGGATATACGGCAAGACCCACTGGGTTACTGCCAGAGTCCAACTGAACAACAATTCTCCTTTCATTTGTATGGAGGTCTACTTCTTCAATTCTCTTGAAACCAGAGTCGCTCCAATAGAGTTTATCGTGGATCCAATCCACTGCCAAGTCAGCTACGTACATAAGAGAGAAAGAACGAGAAAGGTGGGGGAATAGAAGAGAGAGAAAAAGAGAGAGACAGGGGACTAGCATACTATGCCACAATTAAGCTATTAATGTACTGTTGTGGTGTATGTAGAGTAGTGTTGTTTCGTGCTGGCAAAATCTGTGGCAGGTGGGCAGATGCCTACGTAGCCATGCAATGCAGCACTTGATGTTGTATAATGTCTATGTACGTGTGTAACATTAGAAATAATTTTCCTTTTGTTGCGGCAACAAACACATACTATGACAAACTCAGCATGAACACATTAATACCACAAGAACATTTTTGGATCATTAATGGTGCAAACTATGAGAGTGACATGATAGCTACCAAAGAAAATGTCAATATGAGTGTGTGTATTTGTGTGGGAGGGGAGGGGGTTGTTATAATACACATCATCAAAAGCTCTGAACCGTGGAAGCCTTCGACAGGCCTACTGTTGCAATGTGCTGCTGACACGTGCAAAGATGTAAACGTCAACTTCTATTGGTGGATAAGCTGCAAAGGTTCCCTACTGTGCCAAGTCAGTTGCAGGCTTTAAAAGACAGGGGGAAGAGGGGCACGATGTTCCCCTGCATGCTGAGTGGATCAGCATACAAACACTGGCTGGAGTGGCTGTTTTAAGTGTAAGACAACAATTGCTTAGGGACTATTACTAGTATAGTCTGCCCCTGTCGTGTAGTAACTAAATTGAATTATGCTGCACTTCCAATGTGAAGTGCACCACAAAATGAATTATTTGGGAGTTGTTTACTCAGAGTAACATGCTGTACATTGGAATCTCCCATAAAGGACACTCTGAATAAGGGACAAAATAGTTCTCAATAAAGGACACAGTTTGAGGTCCAAATGTTCACTTTTCTAGTACATTTAAACCTCCACAGAGAGAAAGGACAACCTCACTACAAAAGACAAAATGCCTGGTCCTAACGTGTCCATTATTCAGAGGTTGCCGTTGTATTACCCACAATTAGTTGTGAATCGTAAAGATTAAACTGTTCTGGTTTCTCCATCATAATAATTATACTAACCAGGCTTTGATAGGTCTCCCATGACTAAAGTCGTGATGTTGGTACCGTCCATGTTAGCTCTCTTGATGCAGCGATCTCGTACATTGATCCAAAAGATGTAACCCAACCTATGCAGAAAAATTTAACATCAATGCTATAATTATAGAATGCAGAGATACTGCCAGTCTATGCTAAAATGTGTAAAAACTATATACCATGGATCGTTTCTAATCTGGACACCAATAGGACAGAAAAGGTGCCTGTATTAGTGAAGTGTGTTTATTCAGGAGTTATGCAAAAATTATTATTGAGAAGAGGAGGTCCCCTCATTAGAGAGAGGTTACATGGGTCACCATTAATCCATTGGTAGATCAATGCTATAACACAGAGAGTTGGTAATCCACTGGTAGATCAATGCTATAAAAGTGATTATCTAATGGAAAAACACCCATCTTAATACTCACCTGTAGTGAAAGGCAATGGCTGATATGCCATTGTCAGCCGCTATTATTTCGAGTGCAGCCTGGGAGTCTGCACCTGTCATAGGCATCTTGTATATCTTCAGGGAACTGGTCACCAGCAAGTAGGGAGATCTGGTGGTAGAGATAGGGAAATGAAGTCACACCCAGAGGGAAGAAGTCATATAGACAGAGGGGGTGGATGAAGAATGATATAAAGAAGGCTAACATGGCAATAAAAACACAAAGATACACAGTGGAACCTCCAAAAAGGCCCCTCCAACTAAATGACGCACTGTGCTGCTCCTTACTAATACACCTCCTAAAAAGGGACACCTGTGAAAAAAGGACACTCCCAAGGTGGGCTGGTTTCAAAGTGATGTTGTTTTGCACAAAAGTAGACTTTTCTAATTGCGCAAGCCTCTCAATCCATTACGCTGCGGCAAAAAATGGGAGCCTAACTTCATTAGAAAAGTGATTGAGCAATTACTATAATTCACCACAATACTATCCTCCATATTCTAGAGAATCATGAAAATTATGAGTTTGCTATCACAAAGCATAATAAATTCAGCAGGGGGTTATTCATGTGCATATCTCTTTCATTGTTGTGCACGAAGTTTACTTAGTAAAGTGGTTGGGTTTACATAGAGCAGACGTCGACAGGATGGCCAGCATTTTGCGGTGCTCTACTACTTCCCATTATACAATGTTGGTATACAACTCGATGCGGAAACAGAAGCCATACGCGCACAATGGACGTCGCCAATCAGGTGTACCACCGGCACCGCAGACCGGTCCTGCCGCAAATGGTTTAGCGTATCTTACTGCAAAAGATATGGAGTCGGTTCACTTTGCATTCACCCAAAACAACCCCTTAGCAGCCAAATGCGCCTGCGCAAACAAGAGTATTGTTTGTGATGCTCACTCGGCTGGTTCCTGGGAGACCTCAGTAGCGGCACCACACGCCAGGAGAAGTGCCAGTGCAAGCCAATGCGCAGTAGCACCAGTCATGACAGTCGTTGAGCTCTGCATAGCTGCCGAGGTCTATACGTATCTGCAACTGGTCGCACTCAGCAAATAGATCCCGGTTCACAGGTCCACCTCGTATGAAGACTGAACTGAGAGTTTCAGTTTGATGCGACGGGAAAAGACGCTTTTTATACCGTTGCTGCAGCCGCAGGAGCGAGCGCGCCGTACGCGCAAATTCAGCTACGCCCCCTTCCATGCTTGCTGCTGTTCACACGCGCATGCGCACGCGGCTTCGCGTGCTCTAGAACTTGATCCGGAACTCAGTCGCTGCTGTTGCAGCAGAATAAGTGCAGATCTTAGCGCAAACATTCTGCGACTGCAGTTATCTGTGTACTACGTGCACGTGGCGCACGTCCACAACACAACTACCCCCTTCTGATCAGTACCCATAGATGGCAATGATATTTCATAAAAGTTACAGTATAGCTATACACGTTTTGAGTTTTTGTAACCGGAGAGTGTGCAGGATCTTATAGTGATATTATGCTGTTGATGCTTACGGACAATATAAAATTGTAGGCTACAAAGATCAATATTCTTAGCTTCTGGTGGACTGCATCTTTCCCCAGCCCGTATATACTCCAACCACAGCAAGAGCTTCTGGGAAAACCAGGCATAATCAGGGCTAATTACGAGTAGAATAAGATTACTAATTTGTGGGGTATTCCTCAGACATGTGTTTGTACAGCAACTGCTGCTCATAGTAGTAGCATGGACCCAAATCCCCGACCACTTGCACACAGGTAAATAAAGAAGGCTTTTGATGTCTTTTGCCCTCATGGGGCAGTGGGCTACCAGTGCATTCTGACTGGCCAGCTTGCTGGAAGCCAAGTCACGCACATGTTGTGGTCGATTGTGAGTGGGTTATGTGTGAGTCTTGACGGCAAACAAACGTTCTCTGATACACTCACTGCGCAATTGTGCAATTCAACAGCACGGCCGATTAGTTGTGTAAACACCATCAGATTCCGATGCAGAGCAGAAAGCAATGCTCCTAGCTAGGGGGTTTTGGTTCTAAAAGGTAATAATGCTGCTACTCACATAGTGCTTTTAAATGAACCCACTAATGGTTTTATTGACCACGTGCACACTTGCATCTGATACTTCACCAGACCAGGCATATCATTTTCCATGGCGGTCTATTTCTCTGCTCCCTAAGGGCCATTCAGTGGTCTATGTACCATTAAACAATTACAATAAACACCCATACAAAGGGTACCAAATTTACCATTGAAAGATGCATGATTACTTAAAGAATGTTACCAAATTTACCATTAAAAGATGCATGATTGCCAAAGAATGTTATAATAGCGACTTAAGTATATACATTTATTGTAGTGTGCTTAGAGTAGTATGGACTCGTAATGCTAAAAAATTTCAATGTCTTGTCCAGAACTTCCTCCTTCAATATGTAGACATCATTAATGTGTGAGCTAAGAGGCTATAGTTGTATGACTTCTATAATTATTTCCTCTCCATTGTCAAGTCCATCCTGTTACATAATACTGCGCATGGCTGGAGTTGGTTAAGGGCACATCTTCCTCACTAGTAGACTATATAGTAGATTTGGGATGGATAGGAATACGCTGGACAGGAATCACGCAGGAAACCTCCATTACTATAAACTGGTCATCAATTATAGAACTCTCACTTGTAAATGGGGTGAAGATGTACAAGTACACCTCATTACAAGTTCTCCATAGGAACTCTACTACATACAAAAACCACCGAGACAGTTGGTACTTGGAAATTTGCTCTTATACATCCGTACATATTGATTAACCCTCCTAGGGGAGAATTGGAGTAAAATTAAATTTTGACTAGGGATCATCCAAAGTCGTCTATAAGAACATGTGTTCCATGTTCATTGCCGAAACAACAGAATTACGCTGTTGGCCAATAATAGTCAAGTCGTTCATGCGTCCGTCTGTTAGCTACTTTCCAGAGCATTTCTTTCTGTTTATATGTTATTGTCTGTGTTTTTTGTACGCTGGGTATGTTATTGTCTGTGTTTGTGTGCTTGGTGAGGTTCTTTATTTCTCTGAGCTAGTATGCTATAAACATGTTTTTTCATGCACCATTTGGCAAGATATAATTATAGCCGTACAGCTAAGAGAGAGGAAGCTGCTAACAATGAGTCATAATTATGTGGGCTCAGATTTGCCCAACAATGCAGATACTTACTGGAGGCGAGAAATGATATTGTTGTTGGTATTGTGTCATTGATATGATGGTTACCACTCACGATAATGCAAGCGTTTGTGCATGTGGCTCGATGAAAAGTAGTGCTTCGTCAGCTATATATTTCTATTTCAGTGGCTGAGAGTGCAGAATTGGACGACAGTGATCATTTGATCTTGTTTTTGTTTGTCGTGGCCTACGAACTGTCCTGGCATTGCAGGTCCACTAAGAGAGTAGCAGACAGACAGAGAGTAACAGGTGTACCATTGGAGTCAGTATTTACCTCGTGCCTACACTAATCTGCGTGCACCTTCTAAGAACTGTGGGGCATAGTGCGCAGACAATTGTCTCCATAGAAATGCAAAGTTTGCCACAACCTCAGTCAGTCAACCATGGTTATGTGGGCTCAGATTTGCCCAACAATGCTGGGGACGTGTCGAAATGCTATACAGCACTGGCGAAATGGAGCCACACTATTGAAAACTGAAAGCAGTCAGCTAGCTGTCTACTCAGTCCTCATGTTAGTATGTATGCACAGTTTCAAGTGTGTTTGCATTGAGGCGATTTGCAACTAATGAGGCGACTGGTAAAGATTGGCACTCGGTCAGCAGTTGCAACATATGTACCTACTCCTCAATCAGCAGAAAGAGATAAACAACAGCTAGTCCGCCATACTAGAGTTACAGACAACTGGTGTATAACTTAGTTAAACCGAGCAATTTTGACTGGCATTCAGAGATCACTGCCTGACGTGTCTAAACTATAAGACTGGTAGCCTACGTTGCTAAGTATATACCAGAGTTCAACATGGCAAATAGAGGGTACTACAGTAGTTGAGCTCCACTGGCATTGCTAGAGACTTTGCAGATCGAAGACCCGTTATAATAGCTGTTGTTGTCCACCCATACAACACGAGAACAGTTGAGAAGGGAAACACATTGAGGAACTCAAAGGAAGCCACAGATTTGGCCATGAGGAGCAGTCTATTGGCACACGGCTTCTGTGTACAGTTCTGCACTAAATTTGCGCTAATGCACTTTCTAGCCACCCTGAGGTGTCTGATTACGTAACAGCACAATCTAGTGTGTGGAAGTACACGAGGGTTGACTTTGGACTTTACTTTCGCCTATATATGGCACATCGTATCGTACAAAGTTCGTTTTCTTGCTGACAATTCAGTGTCTTGCTTATAATGGGAATAGATATTTTACACACATTATATACCAGTCACAGTCAAGAGGTATTTGTTACAATTTGCACATACTAAGACCTCCAATATAGTAGAGGGAAGAGCTATTATAGGCCTAATGGGCCAGTGCATTGAGGTAACCTTACTCATAAGTGAAATGTACCCTCCAATGACATGTGCAGCACCAGTTCGTTAGTGGGGCCCTTAAAACATTATATAGGGTCACTTTCCTAGATTGGGGGCAAATAGAAGAGCAAATCACGTAAAAAACCCAAATGGGTAACTACAGTACCACTGCAAATGTACGTTACTAGGAGACCTATTGGCCACAAATGTAGGGGAATCATTGGACATCACTGCTCATTATAATTGTGGTACGTAAGTCCCAACATGTGTATTAGGAATCCTAATGCACCTGATGTACACGTTGCCAGGGGCTCTTCCTTGAAGTGGTAGACTACTTTGCCATTTCGTGAATAAAAGACCAGCCGACATGGTGGGTAACCAAAGGACGTGCCTTAGAGGTTTCTGCCCGTCTGCTGCAAGTTTGCTGCCTTCTACTGTATGAGGTGACAGGATATGGGTTGGAATAATTGCAGGTGGTGTAATCGCACAAGAATTCAATTTGATTTATAGGTAAGCTTGTAAACATAGGCACTAAACAAAACGCTTGTAGGGAAGTTATTATAATTGCTACAGAGATGACGTTTTTTTGGTGCAAATAGTCACTTCTAGGTCTAAAGGGTGGTGTATCATGTGTTTTGGCCCACAAAATAATGCAGTGCAGGTTTGTTAACTAACATTACGTCAACACATTAACGGACATCTGTTGGTGCAGAGATAATAAATAATTGGACATTTTGCTAACTGTATGTGGGCTGTGGTTTGTATCTATGGGTTTCTACTACAGCAGTCAGTACATTGAGAAGTTCCAACCACAAAAAGGTCTGACGAAGGGCTCAATTACAGTGAGACTCTAAGATCAACAGCCAAACATGCAGAAATAACTTTTCTGTGGTAATCCGCTGAAGAAAGGCAGAGCTTCACACTCAAACATTTTCACATAATTATGAAAAAGTGATTTGCCAGGATCGAACCAGGGACTTCTGCACTACAAACCAGCACAGTTCCTCAATGCATAATACATTATTTTCTGCATCTGCCAAATGATGGTATATATACATGATTCAAACATGTTGCTATGATATCACGTGACAGGATGTTTTGATTGATCATGTCCGTTGGTGTGTGTTAACAACGGAGTCTGTTCGTCTGCATCTTCTTTATCGGCTGCCATTTGCGGTGATGTCGTGATGACATCATCACGGGATTTTGCCCACGGCTGGGTCTCCCCGGAGCCGAGGATGGTGAAGATAAGAGCTCCGGTCACAAGTATCTCCGCGGATACGATCAGGACCTGTCTCCACTCATCGCGCAGCGTCGATATGTACTCGGGTGAACACTCTGGGTCGTTTGGCTGCAAAAAGGAACAAAAACATAATGATTTTGCAACTTTTGGCTAATGGAAAAAAGTGTCATCAACTTTGGGTTCTTAGTTCATGGGCAATGGACTACGAGAAGTGGGCAGGGCTAGGGGTTAGACTAGACAATGGAAAGACAATGGAATACGAGAAGGGGCGGGGCTAGGGGTTAGACTAGACAATGGAAAGACAATGGAATACGAGAAGGGGGCGGGGGTTAGACTAGACAATGGAAAGACAATGGAATACGAGAAGGGGCGGGGCTAGGGGTTAGACTATAGACAATGGAATACGAGAAGGGGGCGGGGCTAGGGGTTAGACTAGACAATGGAAAGACAATGGAAAACGAAAAACGTGTACTTTTGAAAGCTGTCTACATAGTCTGCTAACTTCCTGGAGCCAGAGTAAATTGATACACACTGATGCGGGGCTAGAGTGAAGAACATTCGCCGCTACTGTAAGAAAAGTTAACCACTTTGACAAACCTGCCTAAGTGCAGCAAAAATTTTGTATTTGGGAGCCCCACCATCAAGAAAGGCTGATGGGTACGTAGGTATGCTGAATGGTGGTGAAGACTGATATTGCTGGCCTTAAAATTAGAAATCCTGTTGCTCATGGGGCAGAGGATATTACAACTGCAGGTCTTCAGAGTGCAACCTTACGTACAGGCACAATCACAGTGAATGGGGACTTCCTGCTATTAGGGCACACACTTACAAGAGGTCACTTCCTTCCAAGTACTATGTAAATTATACCACTGTGGGCACTGTTTCACCCCCTAGGCATGGACCTTCTAATTGTGGCTTAGACGCTTCGTGGCTCTCCAGGAGCAATTAATGTGTGGGATATCCTGCATATTACTCTACATGGTGCACTTGCTTACCTTCTTTCGTAAAATGTAACTTCCTTCTAAGTACTATTAACCAATGTGGCTAGTATTTAATCCTCTAGGCCTTAGCTTCTAATTATGGTTTGGGTGATCTATGTTTGGTCATTCACCACAAATGCTGTGCTGCTATATATTAGAATAATATATATAGTAGTCTTAAACTCATGCATGATGCCCAGAGACTATAATGCTCTGCTGACGAGGAATAAACAGTACTATGGACGTACGAATCATGTGACACCAATACACTATACATTCCACGATAGGTTAATGATCACTGTCCCTCTCTATCTTGCATGCACCAAGAGTACGATTGGGAGAGAATAACAAACAGCAACGTTGCAAAGTTGGAACTTTACACACATTTGATAGCTGGAGACCGAGCAAGCTATATAGTGGGCTCGTGCGAAGTAGGTACTGCGTGCAATGATGGTATATACCGTGGCTGCAATGAGTTTAGCAACTTGAGGGCCGATGAAACCGGGGATGGTTCCGCACATGTTTGTGATCCCCATCAATATTCCGGCATACGAAGCCCCAATGTCGAGGTTGATTCACGCTGTGACCGCCGGCGACAAATCCGCCCATTCCCACGGAAACGGCCAGGAATGTAATCACCATGGGAATGGAGTCGCCAAAGTAGCCGCACATGAGAAGAAAGAAGGCTGAAGACATCATAGCTGGAGGGTGAGCAAGTCAGGTGGACATGATTCATGAGACAAGTACACAGCTGTAGAGCTAGTAAACTGCATGTTGGTTGCGGATAACCTTCTGCACCTTGAAGTACTCTCCACTTGAAAATTTTATTGCCCCTGCCAATCCTCCCTCCCCACAGTTTAGAAAAACCAAGGTATAATTATTATCTTGATTACTTACTCACCAACGATATCCATCAACTTTCTAGTGACGCCGGTGGAAAGCCAGTGAGATCTGATGTAGTCAGCCAGTGGTCCAGACAGCAGAGTGGAGAGAGAGAGGAACACGTAGGGAATGGAGGAATATATCCCATTCAGAACAATAGGCTGTGGGATAAGGCACACGAGCTTACTTTGCACCACACATACTGTATGCCTAGGTATATGGTTACGTTCTCTAGCGATTATGGCTGTATAATGCCCAGGGTATTTATTTAAGCACTTTGGGTGATTATGCTTGTAATTGCCAAATCAAACACTAATTCAATTTGTACTGGTGCACGCAAGTGTATGGAAAGATTTGCCGAACCTAGAAAAAACACGATTAAAAAATCTTTCATTGGAAGAGCAAATAGCTGTATATAGCAAAGGTTTATTGACTTTCATATATAGCCACACAGGCACATATTGTAGTAGAAAAAAGACTTACAATGTTATTGTTGCATCCAAGCGTCTGTTTTAAGAATATGGGGATGCATGTCAGGAGGGTGTAGAAGCCCCAGTTGGTGCAGAAGTAAACGATCATTAGTCCCCACACGGGCGGTGATGTCAGGATTTGAAACCAAGGTGTCTTTGCTCTATCCTGCAACACACGACTCATAAGTATAGCCACAGTGCAAGGCAAACAATTGATGGAAAGTAAGAACATATCTAAGCTAACAATTGAACACAGTTTTTCCAAGGACACGAAAGCAAGGTATATAAGTGAAAAACCCAAAACACCAAAAGAAAAAATAAAATAGCTGTGCTCTGGCTGAGGGACTGGATTATCACATGACACAACTGGGAAATCACATGACTGACACATGAATATCACATGACCCTCGCAAATGGTAATTCATTCATGTGACATAATTATCAACCGTACAAATTGTTTCCAGCTTAAAAATGCTGTGGTAAAGCTTGTGCCACCCTCAAAAAAGCAAGAACCATTCCCCCCCCCTATAGTCTCCACAATAATACACACCTTAGTTCTCGTGTTTTCCGAGTCCAAGGACCTCTCGATGTAGTTTCTCTCGTCAGATGATATCCTTGGGTGGTCTGCCGGTGTACTGTGGGCCAGCAGCACCCAGAATATGAACCAAACCACCCCTACAGATCCTGCAGGGAATCAATACTTTCTGCTGACTGACTGGAAAATGTAGTGTGATCTCTTTGACAATGCTTGCCAAATTGGTGAGGGAAGTACGTACTTGGATTGGTAGTTTAAAATCTCTCAGATTGCTTGTTAATGGTACTTTGACCAGAAAACTTTGGGAGAACGCACATCTCTACACATGAAATCTCTTAACGAAACACCACATACATCAGCTTACACACATCTCGGAAGGTTATCGTAAGGAGATTGTGAGTCAAATTGTGAGTCACATGTTAGCTTACCGAAGACATAGAAGACGGAAGGCCAGCCACCATCAAAGCCGTATTCACAGAGAAGAGCAGAGAGAGGGAACGACAGCACATTCCCCACATAGGGACCTGTAACAGAGAAAATAGGTAGCTAGCTACAGTGAACCCCTCGCCCTTTGAGAAAGAACTTAAAAAACGTTGCCCCTATTATTCGCATCTCAAAGAGGTAGCTCCCTTAATTCTGGGACCAATCAATTAATGTATGGCAAAGGGTATCCTTAATGCGAATCTATGATCTGTGGGCTATGCATCCATAATATATATGGTGAAATGTCTGAAAAGGACAGATAGAGGACACTTCTCACTTTGATCCGCGTCATATATACTCTGAACAGAGGACTTTATTGGATGTATATACCCAACGTGTCCCTTATTTCACAGCATGTCTTTTATACCTGAAAAGCTGATGGTTGCCAGTCTAGTCCGTTCCTTTGGAGGGGCCCACTGACCCCACATTGCAAGCATGGCTGGAAAAGTAACCCCCTGCACAGTATTATGAGAAGACAACACTTCACCTTAAAATGAATGTCAAAATCTAAAGCACCGATCACCATGGAACCATTAATGTAAAAGTGAATGGCAATAGGGTTGGACCATTCATTGTGAATGTTTTTGTTCTCCTATACTTAATAGTTCTCGGAGGCTAATGACCACATTATCACTATACATACGTACACCCAAAAAGAACACCACATAATTCAATCCAATACTATGGTCTGGCAGAGGGTTCTCTTTACCTCAAAGAAACCCTCCAGGACTCTAACAACGATGAGGAGCTCGACACTGGACAGGGCGGCTAGCGGGGTGAAGAGGGTGAACACCGACGTCATGACGACACCCACACCAAACACCCACTTCCCGCCGAATCTTGTGGCCAGCCACCCGCCAGGGATTTGCGTCAGGGCATAGCCGTAGAAGAAAGCTGCTAGGATCCACCCTGGAGACGTGATGGAATATCAAACGCTATTCCCAGCAAATTTGTTCCCAAGAACAATATTACTGCATGGGTTCCCAGACCCTTTTACACACATGCAGGTAGTCATGTGTGTAACAATATTGGAAGGTCTGGGACCAATGTAAATCATTGGCTGGAGTCAAGTGTGGACATAGTGACACTGAAGGTGCATAAACACAACTGTAGAGGTTTCCATAATAGAAAGGCACTTGTTCCTGTAGTGTTTCCTTTTGGTAGAAGAAGAAAGGGCCTTTCGTTTTGGCCCATTGAAACTCAGAGAGTTTACTGTTTCCTTTTCAGGCATGTTTTGCATTGGTGCTCATGGCTAACTAGAGTAAACAGGTGTGTACCTTCTTCTTCGTCACTCCATTTGAATGTCTGAAAACAGAGAGAAAAGAGGCAGAAGAAAGATTTATATGTATGTACCTATAGCTAACATAACTAGCTACATACCTAGCGATTATTATGGATAAATCCCAGATCGGATTTCAAAACAGCCCGCATTGCTTACACGAGCCCCGTGACGGTACTGCTGCGCCGTGCTGTTGTCCATTTGCACGATAGCAACGCTGAGGTTTACTCTAAGGGCGTAGACGTTGAAGAGCCCCAGGAAACTGATGATCGCCAGCGCGTAGCGGGCAGGAATCCACGGGAAAAGGTTCGCCCTGCGCAGTCGGTGGATGGTGGAGAGCTCGCGTCGTGGTTCGTCGTTCACGCTCTTCATCTCTCCCGATGGAAGAGCCTTCTCGCCGTTGCTGACGTCGTCCATGGGTTTACAGCACAGCTCGGACTTCAGAGAAGCCGACACATTGAGCGCGTGATTAGGCCACGCCTCCATACGAGCTCCACCCCCACTTTGCTTCTCTCGCTCTCTAAATTAACGATGAACAGTATTATCGAAATGCCAAAATACACAAACACGAGTGAAAATGAGTAGTCCTTCACCGAAGAAGCAGGACAAAGAAGAGCAAAAGCAGGTAGGAGCATAAACTATCTAGCTAGCGTTTTTTTATTACTAAGTCACCCACGTAAACGCGCGTCTGTGATTATAACAATGTTTTTGTGTAGAAGGCTGTGAAGGCTGGGGAAGGGAAGAAGGGTCAGGGGAAGGAAGACGGCGGGAGTGGAGGAGGGGGAGAGCATGGTGCAGCTGTGAAAAAGCCCACCACAAAAGCAGAGAGACGGGCATTGCAGGTAAGTATGTGTCAATCTAATTGTCGTATACTTTCCATGTTGCAAGCGATGTGTGTTGATTTTACAAGTAGGTATCAAGAAGATATACGACAATGGAAGAAGAAATCTCTCCTTCTTTATAGGAATGTGTTGTGCAATAGTTGTGTAATTGAATGGATTATGTACAAACCTAGCTGGACTTGCATAGCATACTTTCCCTGTGACCGTTTGGCATGATTGTCGTACAGGAGGCACAGAGGAAGGCAAAGGAAGAGAGGCTAGCAGCTCAGGGGAAAGGAACAGCCAAACAAACCACCTCTACTTCAGGGGGAGGTATGTAGGTATAAACGATGTACATAGCTGATGGTTGGGCCAAAACTATGTGTCCATAAATATGTATGTATAAATATGTATGTACATAGAACACATCTTTTTGACAGGTCAGTAGTGTTTCATTTGTATATTACTGAACACTTTTTCATGGAGCACAGATTGCAGATTAAGAAATTGCAATATTACATTATTTCGGCAACACTGTGTGTGCAAACATGATAACTCGACCCATGGCTTGTATTGGTTGTATATAAAGTCATGGAAAAGGAGTGAGAGTGTGGACATGTATATCCGCAGGGGCAAAGAGATCTCAGGCTTCAAAAGGAGGAGAGGGCGGGGCTAAATTGGAGGGGAAACCCCTTGAGGTGCCGAGACCGACACGACAACGGAACTCATCCTCCTCCACCTCCGTTACCACTGACGACCACCGTCCAAACAAATCCAGCAAATCATCAAAGAAAGCGACTGAGGTATATTATTATACAGCAGTGTAAGCTTGCAATGTGTACAATTATAGTTGTGCGAATATTAATGTGTGTGAATGTTTGGATACATACATATACAGTACACAGGCGATATGTATAATAATATAGGAGACGCACAATTGAAACGTATGTACATAAAGAAGTCAGTAGAACTGTACTTTATGTGTTTTAATGTATTGTGGTAGGGATATTGTACAGCCTAAGCATTGACGTAATAGCCTCAATAGCCACTCTCCTTTCTCCTTAAGTAAAGCTCTCATATTATTATCACACATCCACTGGTTGTATAGCAGCAGGTGGAGACAGGGAGAAGAGTGAAGCAGTTGCAGCTGTTCTCACATCTCCAGCAGTACAGCAAGGCACCGTCGTCTCCGACCCTCCCCTGGCACAGCGTCAGGTGAGACTGTGAACAGGGAACTTAACGAACGCTGGTTTTGAAGAGTTAAAATCAACGGATGTGATTGTACGTTTTCCTATCACGTTAGAGGGTAGTGTGTATGATGGAGATTACACATATGTATATAGCACTCCTACAGAAAGACTTAGCATAGCAGCATAGGAGAGGGCAAATATACTTGTATATTGGTAGAACCTTAGGTATTGGCCTTGAACCTCAATTTTTTCCTTCTACTGGTCTGTTATGGTATACAACATGTACATATAATTATACTGGTATGCACCATATGATTATTTTAACACCATCTTGCAGGGGGAATAGTATAATTATGATAAAGTTGCCCTGTATTGTTGCTACCGCAGTACCTACACCTCCATCCATCCTGCCATCATAAAGCTGGGGCTCCATTACTCACACGGTGTCATCTGTGGCTCCAACTCCAGATGTGTGGCAATGCTCGCGGCCTTCAAGAAGGTCAGTCACATTTCTGCAGCTTACGTACATGCCAGAGCAACTGCACACGAAAACCTGAAAAGAAAAGTAGGTTTCTTCAATAGTGTTGGAACCTCGTTAATACAAACACTGTTAAAGCGAAATACTACCTGGCTAATACGAACCACTTTGAAATTCCCAGGCATTATAACACTAATACAACTAGCTATAGTGAAATTCCTTTTAATATTAACATTTTTGATGGTCCCCTGGAGTTCATATTAACGAGGTTCGATTGCAGTATACTTGCACCGGATTTGAAGCTGAAAGTGTGTCAATTACGTATGTATAGTAGAGTGTCAAACGCATAAAAAGTCATTGAATTTGAATGGCAAACACATAATAAGTCATGAACTACATACACTCACAACACCCATAATATTGTAATCTGTCTCAGGTGATAAACGATTACACCACGCCGGTGCAGAAGGAACTGAGACGAGATCTGGACGCACACATCCGCCCGTTCATCAACTTTCTCACCCACTGTCGCCCGCTCTCCGTTTCCATGGGCAACGCCATCAAGTACCTAAAGAGAGAGATATCCAAGATCGGACCCGATCAGTCTGAGAGCGAAGTGGGTCTTAGTAACTCACCTCGTGAGGCAAAAATTAGGCAGTTTGGCGAGATCTGGGTATTTCGTGTTCAGTAAAAGTCAACAGCAGTAGAAGCTAACGTTGCGCTAGGAAACTATGTGCCTCCATGTGAAGGCCAGTCATAGCATCATAATGTAATACACCTCAGCTCTTACTGTGTAATCCACCACCACTATAGCAGCTATATAGAGTGTGTGCAATACTGCCAAATTCAATTTGCGCAAATTCAGTGGCTAGCTAATTGTATAGTTTAGACCTTACAACCCTCATTTAGAGCCCCTTCTCTCTTTCTTGTGTTAGCATTTTATATGTACATGATTGTGTGTATTATACATGTACAGGCAAAGAGACTTTTGTGTGCTACTATTGATGAGTATTTGGAGCTGTACATTGTGAAGGCAGGGACGGAAATTTCCAAGTTATGTCAGAATATCATCAAAGACAATGACGTCATCCTCGTATATGCCTTGTATGTTACTAACAATAGAACCTGCTTTCAGTTTACTAACTATAGTAGCTTGTTTTTTTGTTCGATCGTGTCTTGTGTTTCCGACAATATAATCAAGTCTTTTTGTTTATAACAATAGACATTGATTTTCAGTTCGGTGCCAGGTTCTTTTCTGCCTAAGCCGCTACAATTGGATGTTGAAGATTACCTCGTGGTTACTAACCTCAGCTTTAAACTATTTATGCAGCTCTTCGGTGGTCCAGAGAGTTCTATTAGATGCCCACTGCTCGGGGCGGCAGTTCAGGGTCATCGTGGTTGACTCCAGGCCCAAGATGGAGGGAAGACACATGCTGAGGACTCTGGTGCAGAAGGGAGTGAAGTGTTCGTACGTTCTCATCAATGCCGTCTCATACATCATGAAGGAAGTTAGTGCATGCAGTATCGCACGTGCTTTGCAACAACACATAGCCAAGTATCATAATACATAGAAATTGGCGAGGGGGGAGGGAGCTGATCCAGGGGTCTAAATGCACTATCCGTTGATGCATCGTTCAACTGCGCATGCGTTTTGAAAAGTAGTCTGACGGCAGTGAGGACCAAGTGCTGTCTGTATGCAGTTGCTCCCACTCGCCCAACGCATTTAAGAGTTCATCAGTTATCGTCTCATCAATGTTGTCAAATTTTTTGACACATTGCGTCTTTGTTTAGGGATAGCTATGGTCCCCAGCATCACTAAGTACGGTAGTACTTAGTATATAGGGATGGGCATGGTACGTACCTAGCATCATAGATGTATGGGGCTATGATAGGGACATCTTGCTGTGTGGGATCTGAACAATCCAACTGGCCCTCATTTCTCTCCCCCCCCCCCCCTCCCCCCCTGGAATGTTCCAGGTCTCCAAGGTGATAGTAGGAGCCCACAGTCTCCTGGCCAACGGTTATGTAATGTCTCGTATCGGGACCAGCCAGGTAGCGCTGGTGGCCCGATCATTCAACGTCCCAGTACTGGTCTGCTGTGAGACTTACAAGTTTTCAGATCGTGTTCAGACAGACTCTATCGTCAACAATGAACTTGGTACGTCTGTGTGTGTACTATATAGTACATATAATATAATGTGCATACAGCATTTTGTTGTAAAATTTTTTTTTCCCATTTCGAAGTGTGAGTAAGGTGTAGGTTCCATTAATCTGCATTCATGAGCATTGAAAGGCAATGGTGTAGAGACAAGACAGCATAATTATGTGTATATGCGTTGTAAAACCTGCTCTTGTGGTTTAGCATTTGGTTCGCTTACTGCCTTGCAATTTGCTGTACAAATCTGTACTTCTGTGGCGTAGCAGCAGATTTTGCGAATGAAACGTTCAAAACCACTGTTTTGCGAAAATAGTCTTAGTACACCGTGTTCGTTATATCTGCACAGGTGACCCTAATGACCTTGTCCAAATCAACCGTCGCCAAGGCAACTTCCTAACGGGCTGGAAGGACATTCCGTGTCTGGGCCTACTCAACCTCGTTTATGATGTCACTTCCCCCGACCTGGTCTCCATGGTGATAACAGAACTGGGGGTAATCCCCTGTACGTCAGTGCCGGTGGTCTTGAGGATATCGAGAGATGAAACAGCAGCAGTATAACTATGTGTGTATGTATGTGGTCCACAAGCACCCAAATCCAACTGCTTTATTCCCAAACATCGTTGATTTTACATTTGAGACTGATCATGAATGCGAAATGTATTGCACTGGTGTATTGGACAATAATAGAAGATCCAACACACCCTGTGATTAGACACACACGTAGGGCAGTGGTGCACAGAATTGAGAAGTGAACAGTCTGAGATTATATAGACTGCCCTCACTGGACTGTTACAACACTTCCGTGTATTGCATGCAAAGCACTGGTGCATTGGACAATAATAGAGATCCAACACACCCTGTGATTTCCACGAGTGTGACAACACACGTAGGGCAGTGTGTGCACAGAATTGAGAAGTGAACAGTCTGAGATTAGACTCTGCCCTCACTGGACTGTTACAACACTTCCGTGTATTGCATGCAAAGCACTGGTGCATTGGACAATAATAGAAGATCCAACACACCCTGTGATTTTCCACTGAGTGTGACACACACGTAGGGCAGTGGTGCACAGAATTGAGAAGTGAACAGTCTGAGATTAGACTCTGCCCTCACTGGACTGTTACAACACTTCAGTGTATTGCATGCAAAGCACTGGTGCATTGGACAATAATAGAAGATCAACAACACCCTGTGATTTTCCACTGAGTGTGACACACACGTAGGGCAGTGGTGCACAGAATTGAGAAGTGAACAGTCTGAGATTAGACTCTGCCCTCACTGGACTGTTACAACACTTCAGTGTATTGCATGCAAAGCACTGGTGCATTGGACAATAATAGAAGATCCAACACACCTGTGATTTTCCACTGAGTGTGACACACACTAGGCAGTGGTGCACAGAATTGAGAGTGAACAGTCTGAGATTAGACTCTGCCCTCACTGACTGTTACAACACTTCAGTGTATGCATGCAAAGCACTGGTGCATGGACAATAATAGAAGATCCAACACACCATGTGATTTTCCACTGAGTGTCACACACATGTAGGGCAGTGGTGCACAGAATTGAGAAGTGAACAGTCTGAGATTAGACTCTGCCCTCACTGGACTGTTACAACACTTCAGTGTATTGCAATGCAAAGCACTGGTGCCTGCCGGACAATAATAGACGATCCAACACACCAAGTGAGTTCCACTGAGTGTCACACACATGTAGCGGCAGTGGTGCCACGAATTGAGAAGTGACAGTCTGTATTAGACTCTGCCCTCACTGGACTGTACACACTTCAGTGTATGCATTGCAACGCCATGGGTGCATGTGACATAAGAGAAGATCCACACCAAACCAAGTGACTTTTCCACTGAGTGTCACACCATGGTAGGGCCGTGGTGCACAGAATTGAGAAGTGAACAGTCTGAGATTAGACTCTGCCCTCACTGGACTGTTACAACACTTCAGTGTTGCAAAAATATTTAAAGTGGACATGCCGAATGAATAAATAAATATTAATAGCTTCTAATGTGGGTCCAGTGGAGTATCAGAACATTTTGACAGAGCGAGGAGAATCGTGCTTGAAACTTAGAGTTTGCTGTTTCAGTTAGTATCACCTTCACAGACAGGTATTCAGTCATGACATCATCGTCGGTTGCAATGACATCGTCTTGGGTTGTGAGGGGCAGAGTCTCGCTGTCTTGTGGGTGTGGCTTTGCGGTTGCTATTGGCGACACATCGCAAACAGTTGCCCCTGGCTCTCCATGTAGCCAGCTGTGTAAATAATGTGTGTATGGTTTCGCAAGGTAACTGAAAATATAACATTTAGCCAACACACAGGAAAGAAGCTCAGGCCAACAAACCATCTTGAATCATGTAAATGGTAGTGTTTTCAAATAATGTCTTACCTTAGCTCTGGACCATTCACGGGCAACACAACCCTCCACATTTCCCGCTGAGTTCTAGTGATCACAGCCTGCTCCACTCGTAGCAGAAGTTCATCCAAACCCGTGCCGTGCAGCGCAGATATGGGGACCACACCACCCACATCAACATCAGCACCATTATCCCTGTAAACAACAGATGGTACGGTATATACCCTCACATCCACACTACTCTTTTGTCTAAGGAAGACTTTATTTTTGGAAGTTTGTGAGCAGTCTGTTATTTCCACATGAAATCTTGTGAGGACTTATGCAACGTGCCACCATGTTAAGTCCTTCTATATAAAGGTTCCCGCTCTTTTGGGGTATATATAGTACGAGATTTTTAAAGGCAATGCGGCAGTTTAGAAATTGTTATATACTAAAACAGAAAATTAATTGCATTCTTGCACTGGGTCCAATTTGTTGTTCTATCTTTTAGTAACATTTCTAAATTATTTAGCCCTTATGTACTGACACATTCCCTTTATGGTAGAAAACCAATGTATGGGCAGTGATGCATGGGCAGTGATGCATGGGCATGCATGCATCTGTAGACTACATTATTATATAACTTACAGTCTGTCTGCCTTATTCCCAGCCTCGATAATGCCGTCCACCAGTCCCGGAGAGAGGTCCAACCGACTCAGCACCTTCATCACGTCCGACTTCTGAGCATATGCCTGAGGATGGCTCAGGTCACGAACATGCAGCAAGACATCCTAAAAGAGGATAGAGAGAATGGGATTGTTAATGTTAAAGAGCTACTACATACATACATACATGCAAATGGCACAGTTACAAAACCTCACAATCTAGTGGTGTAACTATGGTGTGCGCAAAGGGTAGTACATACTGTACAATACAGACCTTCACAAAGAGCAAAAACATCAATTATCCCCATTGTGACACAACCTCACCTAACTTAGCATGTGAAAACTATGAGGTAGAAAGGCAAAGGCACAACAAACAAATCAACTACACCTAGGACAGCTCTTCTTTTCCAAGGAAAAATAAAGAGCTGCCCTAGGTGGGATCGAACCCACGACACTCTGCAGTCTAGGCGAGTGTACAACTAAATGCACATGTGCGATAAGTATTATACATACATGTGCAGGCTAAAGATAATGGACTTACAGCATGTGTCACATCGTACAGTGTTGATGAATGACCCACAACTCGTCGGGGCAGATCCAGACACAAACACTATTGTATCAACGTACAAGAACTTCTGCCCACACGGAGTTCACGGCAATGAACGGTCGTGTACAACTTGAAAACAGATGTCTGCCGGAGTAACGCTTTCGTCTTTTGGAGAGGCGTTTTTATTGAGATTATCTCTATTTACCTAATACTCACGAAATAAAGGTATAGGTAGTGTTGTTGTTGAGAGATAGAAGATCTCATCAAAAAAACGCTCTCAAAAGACGAAAGCGTGAACTAATATTCAATACCGGAAGAATCCATCATGAGGCTTTGAGTACGGACGTAAATTGGGAAACGTGGAGAGATAGGATAAAGCAGACAAATGTACCCTGATGAGAGAGCCCTGTTTGCACGACGGTTGGAGACAAAGAAAAATCGAAAGGTCAGCCACCTCCCCCCAAAAGCCAGAATAAGAGGGCGGAGTCGGAGGGAAAAAACTCGAAGAAGGCAGGGTATCTCGATTAGAAATAAAATACGAAGAGGATACGACACGAATAGTAGACAAGGCAAGATGGGGAAACTGCAGCTCGCCGTTTCTATATAGACGGCAGCGATGACGCGTATTGGTTGCGTAGCAACACGCCAAGGCTTGCTTTTGCCCAGGAAGAGAGGTCGCTAACATATACACGGCTATCGCCATTAGCAACGGTGGGGGGCGTTTGGACACCGCGGACGTCAAGCAAGGCAAAGGGTGCGATTTGGGGACAGAAGGATACACAGCGGCTGGAAAGTTAGAGGGCGTCCACGGGGAGAATCAAAGGAAAATGGGAAATTGGGGCCAGGAGGCTACTGCCGTCCGTGGGCAGGAGTCGTCAGGTGAATATATATACTAAGGCTACGTAATGATGATAAATAGAAGAGGTTAATTGATGTGTGGTCAGGGCAAGTCGAGGAGCCGATAGAGCCGACAGCTGCGAGCTCCCACGCAACCGCCGGTATTCACCGTCAGGATAGGCTAAATAAGGAAGGCCAAGCAGGCGAGCCGCGACTTAAGGCGGTCATAAAGCCCGGATAAAACTCGATCTAGTGAGGCGAAGAAAGAGCGCGCGCTCCAGCCCAGGCGGAGCGGTCCCAGCCGGGTTAGGTTCCGGGTGGAGTCAGTTTTCAGCAGCTCTGGACGACATAGGCGTGGGGCGCACAGGTGTGCGTACGGTTCCCAACGACACACAGAGACACGCCTAACTGTGTATGTAATACATATACGGCACATGTTGAAAGTTCTACAGTTTTCAAATTAGGTTGTTTTGTTTTTGGTAACCACAGCCAGAACAAACATAACCAAACAACTCTAGGACTGAGAGTGTCTGGGTTTTTCGAATCCCACAAGGGCAGCTCATTATTTTTCCCTTGGAAAAGAAGAGCTTTTGCATGGTTCTGCTCAGGTGTAGTGGATTTGTTTGTGGTGCCTTTGGCCTTTCTACCTAATGTTGTTTTCACATGCTAAGTCTCGTTATTGGTGAGGTTGTGTGTAACATGGAGATAATTACTCTGTTTTTGCTCTTGTGAAGGTCTGTATTGTACAGGATGTACTACCCCTGCGCAGCACCATAGTTACACCATAGATTGTGAGTTTTGTTACTGTGCCCATTTGCATGTATGTAGTAGTCTTTTAACAATTAAACAATCCCATTCTCTCCCCATCCTCTTTTAGGATGATTGCTGCATGTTCGATAAGAACCTGAGCCATACCTCAGGCATGATGCTCAGAAAGTCGGACTGATGAAGGTTGTGATGGTCGGTTTTTTCTGTTGGACCTCCTCCGGGACTGGTGGACGGCATATCAGAGGCTGGGATATAAGCGACAGACTTGTAAGTTATATAATAATGTAGATTACAGATGCCCTGCAATGCCATATGCTCACCTGCCCATACATTGCAGATTTTCTACCAATAAGGGAATGATTGTCAGAAATAAGGGTAAATAAGGTGAGAAAGAAATGTACTAAAAGATAGTAGAACAACAAATTGGACCCAACCCACCCAGTGCAAAAGGCAATAATTTATGTTTTAGTATTATAACAATTTCTAAAAAACTGCGCATTGACTTTAAAAAGCCTACGTACTATTAGACCCCAAAAGAGCGGGGAACCTTTATATGAAGGAACTTAACATGGTGGCACGTTGCATAGTCCTCACAAGATTTCATTGGGAAAATAACAGACTGCCTCACAAAACTATCCAAAAATATTAAAGTCTTTCCTTAGACAAAAGAGTAGTGTGGGATGCGATGTGAGGGTAATATACCGTAACCCATCTGTGTTTCCAGGGATATATGTGTGCTTGTGATGTTGAGTGTGAGGTGGTGTCATCGTCACATATCTGACGACTGCACGGCACGGCGTTGCGATGAACTTCTGCTACGAGTGGAGCAGCTGTGATCACTAGAACTACAGCGGGAAAGGGAAATGTGCGGGGTTGTGTTGCCCTCGTGAATGGCTCGCAGAGCTCCTAAGGGGAGTAAGACATTATTTGAAAACCTACCATTACATGATTCAGATGCGATGTTGTTGCCTGAGCTAGTCTCTCCTGTGTGTGTGGCTAAATGTTATATTTTCAGTACTGCGAACCATACACCATTATTACACAGCTGAGCTACATGGAGAGCCAGGGGCAACTGTTGCGAGGTCGTTGCTTTGTTGTTCGCGGTGGCGCGAATTAAGAGCAAATCTGGTCGTTTTTCCTTTGTTCTCCCTTCTCCGCTAAAGCCACACCCACAAGACAGCGAGACTCTCCCCTCACAAACCCAAGACGATGTCATGGCCACCGACGATGATGTCACTGATCTGATACCTGTCTGGGAAGGTGATACTAACTGAAACAGCAAACTCTAGTTGCGAAGCACGCGATTCTCAGCGCTCGTTCAAATATAGTTGCTGTGCAGTACTCCTACTGGACCCACATTAGAAGCATTATTATATTTATTATCATTCGGACATGTCACCTTAAATATTTTGCATACACTGAAGTGTTGTATGTAATTGTGAAACAGCCAGTGAGGGCAGAGTTATACTCAGTGACTGTCACTTCTCAATTCTGTGCACCACTGCCCTACGTGTGTGTCACACGCAGTGCAAATCGTTCTAATCACAGGGTAAAGTGTGATCTTCCGATTATGTCCAATACACCAGTGCAATACATTTCGCATTCATGATCAGTCTCAAATGTAAAATCAACGAGTTTGTTTGGGATATAAAGCAGTGGATTTGGGTGCTTGTGGACCACAATGTACATACATAGTATATGCTGCTGTTTCATCTCTCGATATCCTCAAGACCACCGGCATGACGATACAGGGGATTACCCCCAGTTCTGTTATCACCATGAGACCAGGTGAAGTGACATCATAAACGAGGTTGAGTAGGCCCAGACACGGAATGTCCTTCCAGCCCGTTAGGAAGTTGCCTTGGCGACGGTTGATTTGGACAAGGTCATTAGGGTCACCTGCGCAAGATATAAAGATACACGGTTCGTGTTGTGTACTAAGACTATTTCGCAAAACAGTGGTTTTGAACGTTTCATTCGCAAAATCTTCTGCTACGCCACTGGTAAAGAAATACAGATTTGTACAGCAAATTGCAAGGCAGTAAGCGAACCAAATGCTAAACCACAAGAGCAGCTATTGTGACGCCTATATATGCTGTCTTGTCTCTACACCATTGCCTTTCAATGCTCATGAATGGATTAATGGAACCTACACCTTACTCACACTTCGAAATGGCAAAAAAAAATTTTTACAACAAAATGCTGTATGCACATTATATTATAGTACAATATTGAACACACACAGAACGTACCCAAGTTCATTGTTGACGATTAGAGTCTGTATGAAACACGATCTGAAACTTAGTAAGTCTCAAGCAGACCAGTACGGGGACGTTGAATGATCGGGCACCAGCGCTACCATGGTGGTCCAGATACAGAGAAATTACATAAACGCCTTGGACAGGAGGACAGTGGGCTCCCTACTACACCTCTGCGGACATGGTGGAACAAAGAAAGAGTACGCGGAGAAGGGGGATGAATTGGGTTGAAGAGAGAGAGAGAAGAGGGACGAGAAAAGGAAAGGATGAGACCAGGGAGGGGAGGGAGAAGGGATTGTCACGATAGATCCAACACAGCAAGGTTTACTACGGGTGTCTAACGTTTTTATAACGCCAATAGCGAATTAATTGTACCTATAATAGCCCCATTACATCTATGATGCTAATAGGTATTGTAACCAAGGAGCAAAACAAGTAAAGATAGTGTAGATATAATGCAGGACAAAGAAAGGAAAATAGGAGATGGGCGAGAGGGAGGCTAGGGAGGAGGGGGAAAAGAGAGTCATAGACACTAAAAAAATAAGAAGAAAACAGGCTAGAACATATGGGTTCAAAAAACAATATTAGGTAGAAAACATTGATGAGAAGTAAACTAGATGAACTAACTTTTAATTATAATCGCGTGGGGCCGAGTAAGGCAGCCAACTGCTTTACAAGACAGCACTTGGTCCCACTGCCGATAGAGACTATCTTTCAAACGCGTAGAGGAAACAACGAACCGTTGGAGATGAAAGACGCGG